TAGGATGAGGATGAGGCATGGAGAAGGAGGAGGATGGAGGAGGGGATGAGGAGGAGAGGACCCCCCCTAGCATGGAGTCCTTCCTCTCCTCCTCCTGCTCCTCCTCATCCTCCTCCTGCTCCTCGAACCCACCCTACTCGCCTGAAGGGATGCCGCCGCCGCGTTGCTGGACAAGCCCGAGCCGAAGACGGGCGAGGAGGACCCCCCCGATCCGCCCGAGGAGACCCCCGAGGAGAAGGAGAAGAAGGCGAAGAAGGCGCGGGTTGCGGAGAAGAACAAAGCGATCAACGAGGTCGAGAAGGTCACGATCAACGTGTCCCACGAGCTTGGCAAGGTGAAGTGGATCAAAGAGGGGCTCAAGGAGCGCCAGTACCCAGACGCGCTCAGCAACTTCTTGGACACCCAGGTCATTGCAGCAGCAGCAGCAACATGAGGAATATCAGATAGGAAAACCGGAGGGAGAGCTGAGGGGAGGGGATGGAAGGAGGAGGGGAGGAAGAGACTGCGGAGGAGTAGGGGGAGGAGGAGTAAGAGAAGCTGAAGGACGGTGAGGGAGAGGAGGGAGGGAGGATGAGGAGGCAGAGGAGGAGGAGGGTGGGGGAGGAGGGAGGGTGGGATTGAGAGAGGGGGAGGAGGAAAAGGAGGAGGAGGATGAGGAGGAGGAGAAGGAGAAGGAAGGGAAAAGGGAGGAGGAGGAGGAGGACGAGGAGGGCAGACGTCAGGTCGAGGAGCAGCACAAGAACCTGGATGAGCTCAAGGACACCCTGTACCGCATCAAGGGCGACGCCTCGAATAAGCAGTGGAGCGTCGAGGAGGCTGGCGCTGCCGCTCATACTGCTTCTGCTCCGCTCATCCCCCATCCACTCTCCTCCTCCTCCCTCCCTCCCTCCCTCCTACTCATCCTCCTTCTCCTGCTCGTCCTCCTCATCCCCCTCCTCGTCCTAGTCGTCCTCCCTGTCCTCCACTTCCTCCCTGTCCTCCTCCGCCTCGTCCTCATCCTTGCCCTCCTCCTCCTCGTCCGCGTCGCGAGGTTGAGGAGTGCAAGCAGACCCTGGAGACGGCGAAGAAGAAGTTCACCGAGGCGTACGACAGGCTCCCTGACGCCTGCCACTTTAGCTTCCTCTTCCTCTCTCGCTCTCTCTCTCTCTCTCTCTCTCTCTCCCTCTCTCTCTCTCTCTCTCTCTCTCTCTCTCCCCTTCTCTCTCCCCCCCTCTCTCCCCCTCGCTCCCTTTCCCTTCCCCAGGGGAGGAGGAGGGGAGGGAGCCTGGGGAGGGCTGGAGGGAGGAGGGGAAGGAGGAGAGGATGAGCCACCAGCCAGGTTCCTCTCCAAGACCTGGAACGACGTCAAGAAGATGGGGAACCAGAGCTGAGCCTGAGCCTCCCTGGGGTGAGGGGCCTGTGCTTACAGCGAGTGCTGGACGTGCTTTGGGGGTGCGTTCGGTTTAGCACCTGCGGTTCATTTTAGGGGGGGGGGGGAAGGAACAGTATATACTCGTGCAGTTGTTTTTCTGCTCGAGGCTATTTGGCCGCTCGGGGTGCGGGCAATTTCGCCGATGGGGGTGCCTCCCTCCGCGTGGGGATGAAACGCGGCGTGAGGCAACGACTGGGGCTTGCTCCTGAGGGTGATGGTGCAAGTACCAAGGTGCAGAGGTGCGCTTGGCCTGTTCAACCCAATTTTGTTTTATAATTTGTGTTTGGGGGGATGGGGGTACCAATGCGTTCAAGTACCAGGCTCCCTGGTTACACGCACCATCGCCCTTTAAGACGCCCAAGAGGTCTCACACTGAGAAGTGGATGACCCAGATGTTTAATCGAGGGCAGCTGTCCGCACCAGAGCTCGTCCGAGGTATTCAAGCGTGCCAGCAAGACCATCCTGGATCGTCTTGCAGCCTGGCACCAACAGCAACTGCATGTGGCAAATTGACGAGAAACGCTCACAGGACATTTTTGTTCCAAACGTTCCTTCCTTGGATGCCCTGGCAACGCCAAAACTGGACCCGTGTTCCAAACATTTTTGTTCAGAAATTCGGCATTCCTCAAACAAAAATGCGGTGGTAGCGTTTTTCTGTCAATGCTTCATGCGGCTGCCAGGGATCTGTGCCGTCGGCTGAGCAAGACTGCTCGCCTGCCAGAGGTGTATGAGGCAGATGCGCAGTTCTGGGATCCAGATACAGGGAGGATCAAGAAGGGGAAGATTCATTGTCTGTTGCCGCATGAGGTCCTCAGTGCCATCACGCCTCCTGGCTCTGAAGATACAATTTGTGAGTTCGATGCTGATCAGGTTGGCTCCCGCACCATGCTAGCCAAGACTCTGGAGGAGCTTGGGGCCGACGCCAGCAAGCAGTGGGCTGCCGTTGGCATCTGGGGCGACAGCGCCCCGTACGCCCTTCGCGACTCCGTGTACCTCCTTCTTTGGAACACGATCTCTGGACCAACGAACAAGCGATGGTGGTTCGTGGCGTTTCCCAAGAAGTTTGTCTGCCAGTGTGGGTGCAGTGGTCGGCATACGTTTCAGGCTCCCTTTTTCTTCCAGTTCTCATGTGTATGCATGCCCATTCGATCAGTCCAGTGTGTATGCGTTCAGCTTTCATGCATCATGTTTCGCCCTCCGATCTGTCTTTATCACTCCCTCTCCCTCCGTCGGTTGTCTGGGACGTGCTGCGCTGGAGCGTTTCCGTCTGGCTGTGCGGACGGCTACCTGCTCAGCGCCATGATGGAGTCGATTTTGCTAAGTCCACACGCATCGGCGACCGCGCCCGTGCTAGAAGGATCGGAGAGAGTCTAGCTGTGAGGGGGATGGTGATTCAGTGCAGGGGCGATTGGCAGTGGCTGAAACAAGGTTTGGGATTACAGGGGTGGGGCAGTGGCCGAGGAAGCTTGGACAACCGCATGTGTTTTAGATGTGGGTGCATTCGTCGACACATGACAGAAATAGGGGACGATGCCCCATGGCGCAAGACTTTGATTTCCCACAGCGATTTCCTGAACGATGTGCTCCAATCCAAGAAGCACCTTTCCGGCCTTTTTTCGGTGCCTGGTTTCAAGCTTGAGATGGTGGTTGCAGACTTGATGCACTGTGCATGCCTAGGTATTTTACAATACTGTTTAGGTAACGTTGTATGGGAGTTGTTCCTGGAGCTAGGCGGTACGTTCACATGTTGGGTTGAAACCTGCGGTAAACTTGTTGGCATGGTCAAGTGGATGGCCCACCATCTCGAAATCGACCCGCCGCTCAACAACCTCACAGTGACCATGATTAGGGCTTCTGCAACAGCGACGCCAAAGATGAAGCTCAAGGCATGGGATCAAACTCGCGTGCGAGAGTCCCTCCCCTCCCACCCTGCCCCCTCCCCATATCCCATCAACCTCTCCCTCTCCGCTCCCCATGCCCCCCCCCCACCTCCCTCCACTGCCCCACCCGCCCTCCCCATCGCGCGTGTTTGTTTGATCCCTTGCGGCAGGCCGCTGAAGGGCGTCGGATGTTGCTCGTTGTCCGCAGTTTGCTTCAGCACTGTTTCAAGCGGGATGGCCCGCGCGCAGCGCACGCAGAGATTCGCTACACTTGCGTTGATGCTTTGTGTCGGGTTTACGAGACGGCCGATCTGAAGCACTGGGACCACGATACATCCCCCCCTCTCTTAGCAACGTATGCTCGTCAGCACCTGGTTGCATATCGAGTGCTCCACTTGCGAAGTATGCAGGAAGATTTAAGCAATACATTTTGGAGGTACTACCCCAAACACCATCTATTCCTTCATTGCTGTGAAGATCAGACGGCCCTGCACGACAGCCCGAGGTCTTATTGGGCGTACGGGGACGAAAATGAGATTGGCAACGCAGTGAAATTGGCCAGATCCGCGTTTCCAACTACTTTAAGCTGCTTGCTTATGCAGCGTTACAGGCTGAACGAGTTCAGTTGACGGTGCTTCTATCCCCTCTTCTCGTCCCAATGCCATTTGAACATGAAATTCGAGGAGGAGAGGGAGGAGAGAGGAGGAGAGGAGGAGAGATGAGAAGGAAATGGAGGATCCCAAGAAGGGTAGGAGACGACTACGATCCTTCTTCATCGTTCCACTTCTGCTACTGCCGCGTGTTGCTCGCATACGTTCGCAACGCTACGAAAGCACTGCAGTCCGATGCGATTGAAAATCGTCCAAAGCTTAAGTTTCGGAACCTGTCCTCCCTCCCTTCCCCCTCCCCCCTCTCCCTCCACTGGGTCCCCCTCCTCGCGACTCCTCCCGTCCCCCTCCTTCGGTCCTTCCACGCTCACATATCCTCGTCCTCCTCATCCTCATCCTCGTCCGTGTCCTCGTCGTCGTCCTCCTCCCCCTCCTCCTCCTCTCCCTCCTCCTCCTCCTCCTCCTCCTCCTCCTCCCCCTCCTCCTCCTCCTCCTCCTCGTAGCCATTTTCGGCTCGATCGGTAAGCCCGAGGCCCGTAGGTCGCCTATATGGTAGCGGAGCTATAGCCGCCGCGTCAGGCCCGTAGGCACGTCACGGCTGGCCCATCAGATTTTTTGGTAGCGGGGCCCCGTTTCGTTACGAGAAGCCCCTGTTCGCTTCAGAGAACGGCGGCGTACGATACGTATATATATATATATATATATATGCGCATTCACATATGGGACTGTATATATATATATATATATATATATGTATATATGATGCATATATACATACACATACAAGGATTGCACACTGTATATGTGCATCGTACATATACATCTACATATGGCTTATGCATCGGGAATAAAATATTCCGGAGCGGCGCCTCGGGAATAAAATATTCCGCCGCACGCGGTTCTAAGCGCATGGACGTGGACTTTTTGGTTGGGGGTATATTTTATGTCGGATGGGAATAAAATAAGTTTTTAAGTCAAATTCCAAGACATAAATCGTTAAAATATTCCGGGGGGAAGCTCTGGGGATTCGATTTCGTCAACAAACCATTGGAGCAGCTCGAACCCAATCAACGAGGACATGCGCTGGAGCTGGCTGCGTTCCTGCGGGTCGTCCGACCGCCGCCTCCTCTGCTGCCGGTCCTCCGCGCCCGCCCCTGCTGGGGTCAGGCGCCCAGCCTTGCTCTTGCCGGCCCACTCCGCGTAGACCCGCTTCAGCCGGCGCGCCACGGCATTGGAGGGCGTCAGGTTGAACATGTTGGTGGCGAGGGCACCCCACGGCATGCGAGTGTAGTGGATGCCAGCTCCTGCTTGCTCCTCGACCCAAGCGCCAATGCGCGCGCCCATCTCCAGCCTCGTGCTGATCGGCAACGCGGACGACCGCCCTTGCCGCCCAGCTCGTCGCCGAGCCCGAGGCTCGGGCGCAGCCTGCTCCAGACTGCCGCGAAACAGGGCGGCCTGATCGTTAAAGGTTCAACGTTTGGCGCTTGCCACAACGGCGAACCCTTCAAACTGCAATGATTCACCCTCGTGACAACGGCCAATCGTTGAACCTTAAACTTTCGGGCAACCTTGCGTCGAGCACGTCTTCGTCGTCTCCGTCCTCGTCGTCGTTGTCGTCGTCGTCGTCGTCGTCGCCGTCGTCGGCGACTCCAAAGGAGACGACGACGTCGCCGACGACGACGACGACGGAAACGACGAGGCCGAGGACGAGGACGACGACGACGACGACGGCGCCTGCGCCGCCAGCGCGGCCAAGTAAGCCATGCCAGCGCGGCGCTGCGAAGCGCCTCTGTCGGCGCGGGAGGCGGAGGCGCCGCGGGGCAGCCCCTCGGGGCGGCCGCCGCCGGAGGCGCCGCGGGGCATCCGCTCGGCGGCCGCCGCCGGAGGCGCCGCGGGGCAGCCGCCGCTGGAGGCGCCGCGGGGCGAGCCGCCGCTGGAGGCGCCGCGGGGCGAGCCGCTTGGCAGCTAAGCCGAAAAAAGGCTACAAATGTACTGGCGTTGACGCAGGCCCCACAACCCAGGCATCCGACGTGTGTATGACCCACAACCCAGGCATCCGAAATGTGTGTGACCCACAACCCAGGCAATGTGGCGACCCTCAGGCCACATGCATCCGCTGTGTGTCTGACCCACAACCCAGGCATCCGAAGTGTGTATGACCCACAGCCCAGGCATCCGAAACGTCTCATAACCACAACTCAGGCACTTGTGTTTCCATATTTTGTGTTGCTCTTTTTTTGTTGTTGCTTGTTATGTCATTCCGCCATTGGGGCTCCTGGGGGGTGGCGCTTGGGACCACACGAGGATCCGCCACTTACGCCACCCCCAGGATGCCCCAGTCCTCGTCGCGGCGCCGACGGGGTGGCGCTCGGGACCACACGAGGATCCGCCACTTACGCCACCCTCGGCGCCGCTTTTGGGGTTCCTTGGGGGTGGCGCTTGGGACCACGCGAGGATCGGCCACTTACGCGCAAACCAGGCGTCCGAGAAGTGTCATAACCACAACTCAAGCACTTGTGTTTGCATATTTTTTGGGCGCTGTTTTGTCGTCATTGTTATGTCATTAGGTCCCTGACGCACAACCCGGGCATCCGAGATGTCTCTGACACACAGCCCAGGCACTTACGGCAAGCCTGAGGTCTGCGACGCACAACCCAGGCATCATAAATGCCCCTAACACGCCACCCAGGGGCGCTGGCGAACCTGAGGTCCCCAACGCACAACCCAGGCGGCCGAGAAATGTCATAACCACAACCCAAGCACTTGTGTTTTCATATTTTTTTGGGCGCTACTTTGTCGTCATTGTTATGTCAGTAGGTCCCTGACACACAACCTGGGCATCCGAAATGTTTCTGACACACAACCCAGGCACGGCGGCAAGCCTGAGGTCCGTGACGCGCAACCCAGGCATCCGAAGTGTGTATGACCCACAGCCCAGGCATCCGATACGTCTCATAACCACAACCCAGGCACTTGTGTTTCCATATGTTGTGGTGCTCTTTTTTTTGTTGCTTGTTATGCCTTTAGGCCATTGGGACTCCTGGGGGGTGGCGCTTGGGACCACACGAGGATCCGCCACTTACGCCACCCCCAGGATGCCCCAGTCCTCGTCGCGAGATGTGGTTCCCCGACGCACAACCCAGGCATCAAGGGTGTCCCTCACACGCCACCCAGGCACGGTGGCGAGCCTGAGGTCCCTAACGCACAACCCAGGCGTCCGAGAAGTGTCATAACCACAACCAAAGCACCTGTGTTTTCCTTTTTTTTTTTTGCGCTATTTTGCCATCGTTATTATGTGAGTAGGTCCCTGACGCACAACCTGGGCATCCGAGGTGTCTCTGACACGCGACCCAGGCACGGCGGCAAGCCTCAGGTCCGTGACGCACAACCCAGGCATCCGAAGTGTGTATGACCCACAGCCCAGGCATCCGATACGTCTCATAACCACAACCCAGGCATTTGTGTTTTCATATTTTGTGTTGCTCTTTTTGTTGTTGTTGTTTGTTATGCCTTTAGGCCATTGGGGCTCCTGGGGTGTGGCGCTTGGGGCCACACGAGGATCCACCACTCACGCCACCCCCAGGATGCCCCAGTCCTCGTCGCGAGCTGCAGTTCCCTGACGCACAACCCAGGCATCAAGGGGGCCCCTCACACGCCACCCAGGCACGGTGGCGAGCCTGAGGTCCCTAACGCACAACCCCGGCGTCCGAGAAGTGTCATAACCACAACCAAAGCACTTGTGTTTTCATATTTTTGGGGCGCTATTTTGTCGTCGTTGTTATGTCATTAGGTCCCTGACGCACAACCTGGGCGCCCGAGATGTCTCTGACACACAACCCAGGCACGGCGGCAAGCCTGAGGTCTGCGACGCACAACCCAGGCATCCGAGAATTCTCAGAACCACAACCCAGGCACTTGTGTTTCCATGTCTTTTGTGATATTTGTTGTTTTCATGTGTAATGTCATTAAGTCCCTGAGGCACAACAAAGGCATCCGGTATGTCGGCAACACACAACCCAAGCACGGTGGCGAGCCAGAGGTCCCTAACGCACAACCCTGGCATCCGAGATATCCCAGAACCACAACCCAGGCACTTGTGTTTATATATGTTTTGTTCTTCGTTGTTGTCATGTGTTATGTCATTAAGTCCCTGGCGATCAACCCAGGCATCCGATATGTCTCTGACCCACAACCCAGGCACGGTGTCGACCCTGAGGTCCCTGACGTGCAACCCAGGCATCCGAGATGTCTCTGACCCACAACCGAGGCATGGTGGCGAGCCTGAGATCCCGAACTCGCCGCCCAAGCATCCGAAATGCCTCCGACCCACAACCCAAGCCGGTTTGCGGTCTGATCCCTCCTGGGCTCAGGGGTCCTGGTGCCTCCTGGTCCCTCCTGGTTCCTCCTGGTCTCTCTTGTTCCCTCCTGGTCCCTCCTGGGCTCAGGGGTCCTGGTCCCTCCTGGTCTCTCCTGGTCCCTCCTGGTCCCTCCTAGTCCCTCCTGGTCCCTCCTGGTCCCTCCTGGTCTCTCCTGGTCCCTCCTGGTCCCTCCTGGTCCCGCCTGGTCCCTCCTGGCCCCTCCTGGGCTCAGGGGTCCTGGTCCCTCCTGGTCCCTCCAGGTCCCTCCCGGTCCCTCCTCGCCCCTCCTGGTCCCTCCTAGTTCCTCCTGGCCCCTCCTGGTCCATCCTGGTCTCTCCTGGTCCCTCCTGGTCCGTCCTGGTCCGTCCTGGTCCCTCCTGGTCTCAGGGGCCCTGGCCCCTCGTGGCCCCTCCTGGTCCCTGTTCACACGCACTTCACATGTTCTGGATGGCAGCAGGCTTGGCGACGAAGACTGCCCCGCGCATCACCGCCTTCACGTTCGCGAACGCGGGCACCAGAATCGTCACCGTTGGGGCTTTATCTTTCCCACGCTGCTTGCGCCCATCCTGCTTGAACTCGCAGGAGATCTCTTGCGTCAGGCACCTCGCCTCCAAGTTCCCCACCGTGGTGTCGGCCGCCGTCGCCTCCAAGACCGCCCAGAAGGGCGACACCCCTAGGGCCTTGCCTGGCTTGAACTGGGCGAGGGGGCTCTGGATGATGTATTTCGATAGGTCGTCGCAGATGTCGTAGGCTCCGATTTCTGTCGTTACCAAGTAGGGGTGCTGCGGATGATGCGATTTTGGCCTCCTCATCTTGGCCCCCTCCGAGAAGTCGTGCACAAGTCCGTGCGGAATCAACACCACCTCGCCGACTGCGAAATCTTTCGCGGCCCTCGCCTGAAACACACACGGGTTTGAGGACTCCATGCTGTGGACCGTGATATTGGCAGCGCACCCGCTGTGTTTGACCTGCAGCTGCTGCAGGGCCGTCTGCATCATCAACTTGAAGACCGCGTCCTGGCTGGGCATCGCGGCGGCGGGCATCACCTGGAGGCGCGACGCGTCGATCTCGTACGGCTGGATGATGGCAGGCTCCGTTGGCTTCTGGCCGCTGTTGTCACCAGGCGGCGCCTGCGCGGCGCCCAGGGCGCCAGCCGGCTCCTGCGCGGCAGGCGACGCTCCGTGGGTCGAGGCGTCGGCGACGCCTGGGGCAGGCGGCGCGCCGTCGAGCGGCGCGGGGAGCTTCTTCTCGTCGGCGGCGAGCTGGGGGGGAGGGAGCTCGAGGGAGGGAGCTGGAGGGAGGGAGCTGGAAGGTGAGTGCTGGAGGGCGGGGGCCGGAAGGCGAGAGCTGGAGGGAGGGAGCTGGGGGGCGGGTGCTGGAGGGCGGGAGCTGGCTGGTGGGAGCTTGGCGGCGGGAGCGGGGGAGAGGGGGCTGGGAGGAGGGAACTGGGGGAGGGAGCTGGAAGGAGGGAGCGGGGGGAGAGAGCTGGGGGGAGGGAGCTGGGGGAGGGAGCTGGGGGGCGGGGGCCGGAGGGTGGGAGCTGGAGGGAGGGAGCTGGGGGGCGTGTGTGCTGGAGGGCGGGAGCTGGCGGGTGGGAGCTGGGCGGCGGGAGCTGGGGAAAGGGAGCTGGGAGGAAGGAGCTGGGGAGAGGGGGCCGGAAGGAGGGAGCGGAGGGAGAGAGCTGGGAGGAAGGAGCTGAGGGAGCTGGAGGGAGGGGCCCGGAGGGGCGGAGCTGGCGGGTGGGAGCGCGAGGGCGGGGGCTGGAGGGGGGGGGCCGGGGGGAGAGAGCTGGAAGGAGGGAGCTGGGGCGCGGGCGCTGAAGAGCGGGAGCTTGAAGGGGGAATCTGGCCAGAGGAGGTGGAGGAAAGCCTCCTCGACCTCCTCGAAGGCCTCCAGGGCGTCTGCCTTTCTCTTCGCGGTGGTCGGAGGAGAGCAAATGGAGACAGCCGCGGATAGAGAAAACCGCTCGGAACCCGAGCGAATCGGCCGCCGAACCTCCTCCGAGGACCGCGTGCTCAGTTTTTCCGTGCCGCGCCCAGCCGTGGCGACGAGGCCTCCCCGAGGAAAAAAAAACCTTGTCTCAGAAAGAAAACCGCCCAGAACCCGAACAAGTCGGCCGCCGAACCTCCTCCGAGGACCACGTGCTCAGTTTTTCCGTGCCGCGCCCAGCCGTGGCGACGAGGCCTCCCCGAGGAAAAAAAAAACCTTGTCTCAGAAAGAAAACCGCCCGGAACCCGAACAAGTCGGCCACCGAACCTTTTTCCGAGGTTCACGTGCTCAGTTTTTCCGTGCCGCGCCCAGCCGTGGCGACGAGGCCCCCCCGAGGAAAAAAAAAAACCGTCTCAAGTCGCCCTCCTCCGATGGTGGTTTTCTTGGGCGCCAGCCCGTACTCCGTGTCCGGCGGCTGGTAGAGCGCGGCGGCGGGCTTCTCCGCGATGGCCCTGCACTTGAGCAGGTCGTCGGCGTACTTCGCC